AAGGTCTTGACATTTCCGATGCAGCATTTCCATCGGTCACACAGGCGAACATGTTGTAAGACGAAACGTGACCCTGTGAGTGACGGAGCCCTTTGCCCGCAGCACGAGGCGGCGGGCGCGCTGCCGCGCGTGCGCGCCGAGCAGACGCACGCGGCGCGCGTGGCGGCGCAGCTGCGCGCGCTGCTGGCCGAGCTGGCCGAGCTGCGCGCGCAGGTGCGGCCCGCCGACCTGGCGCGCTTCGACGCGCTGACGCAGCGCAGCCGCGACCTCACGCGGCGGGCCATCGTCGACTACCTGGGTAAGGGCTCGCCGGGCCGCGCCGTCGCGCCGCGCTAACGGCCGTCTGTTGTTGCAGATGCGATAGAGCGCAGCTGCCGGTCGCTGGTCGTCGCCGCGGAGAGGCAGATGGGTGAGCCGACGTTTGTGTGGCACGCTCCTTTTGGCTGGAAGTGACGCAACTCTGTCGCGCATGACTTTATGTCGATCCGATTAACGGCCGTTTGCTTGGTGTGATTAACCGAAAGCGGCTCATAGCTGACAGAATTTCGAGCCAGCGAGCTAAGATTCTCCAGTGCAGGGTCCCGCTGCACGATCCGTCTCGCGCGATATCAATCGTACCGAGTTCAAATAATAGTATCACGGCACCTAATGCATCGGAGCGGCATCGATAACGTGCGTCGTATCCGCATCTCGTGCGCATCACTTTCGAGTCGACGATCCCGTCGCCGGTGATAACGTTCTCGGCGTCGGTTCGCAGAGACGCCCCCGCTGAAGATGACGCGCGCGGCGCCGGCGGAAGACGCGGGCCAAGCGCACAGCGCGGTCTCCACCGACTCGGTGGGCGTGCTGCGGGGCGAGGGCGAGGGCGAGCTCGTGCAGCTGCGCGTCGACGACCACGTAAGGGCGGGGCGGGGGCGGGGCGGGGGGTCGGCGCCCGGCCGGCCCGCGGCCTCACGCGTGTGCCCCGCAGGAGCTGGCGCTGCGCGAGCGCGAGGCCGTGCTGGCGGGCTGGGACGCGCTGCAGGCCGAGGTGCGCGCGCTGCACGACGTGTGGCAGCGGACGCACGCGGCCGCGCGGCTGCAGGCGCGGCTGGTGGACGACGCGGCCGCGGACGTGCACGCGGCCGACGCCAACGTCGCCGCGGCGCGCCGCGCGCTCTCCGCCGCAGAGAAGTACCGCCTCGAGCGACCCTTCGGCGGCCCCGCGGCGCGCCGGCGGACGTCGACACGCGTCGCTTCGCTCCGCAGGTTGAAGGTGAGCGCGTACGGCGCGGGCGGCGCGCTGCTGGGCGCGCTGGCGGGCGGGCCGCTGGGGCTGGCGGCGGGCGTCAAGGCCGGCGTCGCCGCGGCGCTGGGCGGGTCCCTGCTCGGCTTCGCGGGGGGCCGGCTGCTCGGCAGGAGCCGGCTGCCGCGGCTGGAGGCCCCGCCGGCCGCGCCGGCGCCCGGCCCCGACGCGCCCAAGGACAAGGCGCAGTAGCGCCAGCGCTGCGTCTGCTTTTGAGCGGCGCGTTCCTTCTCCGGCGAGCGATTTGGTTTTTAGAAACTTTTACCGCGAAGACCGTCCGCGACAACGGCCGTCGAAAACTTCGCGCCCCGTATGCGAGCTGTTCTGGTGGGGCGTGAACGCAACGTGTGTATGGTAAAAAAAACGCGACGCAATGTTACATTAATCCAACTCTACCGTCGATGTTACCCAATTCTACGTACGGATACGAGCTCTCCACGTCCCGATTAGATGTGAACTTTAATGTGATGTGATGGTGCTTATACATTGTATTGAACTGTACATATCGCGTAGGTAACCTATATACGTTTATTTTAGTAGATAGAATAGACGTGATGAACACTCAGTATCTATGAAACGGTTAATTTTTATCGCGTTTTGTCGTTTATGAAATCAATATTTAAACGGTAAGAATCATATCTCGAATCTGTAAACCAAAATTTGATTTGGATACTCTTCAAAATATCGCTTCTATTAAAAACTCGTATTTTTAAACCAACCCTCAAGTTAAGTTTATTTGCGGAAATCTTTCATTCAACCCAGGAAATACATTGGGTTTGTTAACCCAAAACTTGACATGTAGTAGATATACTCTGCAAAATTAATAAACAAACGTATTTTTTATACTGTCCCTGAAATGGACAGACACGCGGTGCTAAAATTTGTCTCCCAAAATCCCATCTCTTAAACAGATGATCCTGAATATTTTGTGCACAAAAGTAACGTCGGTTATTCACTCAATTCACGCAAATAGTCGCGGGTACAAGCTACATAGTAATAACTTTATGTATATAACTTGAGTGATATGCGACATATTATTTTTATATTAGCGATAAGACAGCCCTTCGATACAATCGGTCTACTTTCCCGATCGATCCACTTTCCCATTTCGTCTACTTTCGCGATCGGCCCACTTTCACTATTCTTCTACTTTCCCGATCGGTCCACTTATCCAAATGGTCCACCTTTTAGGCATATATTATTAAAATTTTACAATTAAATCCATTTTACAAATTTTCTAAGGCAATTTGTAAATGCGTAATTGCAGATTGTCATGGAGTACATACATTTTTTACATTTTTGATAATGATAACCGCTTTACGTTAGCCATGATTTGAAAAACAAAATCAAGTAGACAGTTTTTGACCGACTTCAACAAAAAGGGATAAGTTCTCAATTCGACTGTATTTTTTTGTATATATGTTACGCGAGAACTCCGTGTATCTGTGAACTGATTTAAATAATTGTTTTTTGTTGGAAAGAAGATAAGATATAGTGGTCCCATTTAAATTTGAAGAAAATATTTCACCTCTAAGGGTCGTATTCTAGAACTCTACTCAATGCGCAAGTCAGGAATTGAGTATGGTTTAAAGCACTCGAAATCATACTCAAATCCCTTACATTAGGGTCGTATTTCCTGTGCTGGAAATCATACTCAGATCGTGACTTTAGCATTGAGTAGAGTTCTGGAAGACGACCCTAAGAGTGGCAAACTAGGGGGTGAATCCGGTTTCGTGCACTTTCCGGTAACCGATTTCAAACTTTTGAGGTAGTTTTTTTAGTAGGTACTCTGTACTGAGATTTTCTGAGAAGGCGCATCATTAAAGTACACCGATCGGGAAAGTAGACCAAACGGGAAAGTAGACCAAACAGGAAAGTAGACGAAATGGGAACGTAGACCAAACGGGAAAGTAGACCAAACAGGAATGTAGACGAAATGGGAAAGTAGACCAAACAGGAAAGTAGACCAAGCACGAAAGTAGACCAAATGGGAAATAGACGAACCGGGGAAAAACAAGTGGACCGGTCGAGAAAGTAGACGAATAATGAAAGTGGACCGATCGGGAAAGTAGACCAATTGTACCGAAGGGTAAGAGGGTAAGTAAACGCTACGTGTGCGCCACCAGCGGCGCCGACGACGAGGTAACTTCTTAGATCTGTTAGCCAGAAACTAAGCAACCGTTCTGTGTCCACTTTTGCTATTACAAAAACAATATAAACAATAAGTCTGGCTAACGAAATACGAGACTGGAAAAACGCGGGAAATTAAAAAAACGCGTGGTGTCACGGTAAAGTAGTAAAATATTATTTTGATAGAAGTAATAACATGGGAATAAGATTATTTTATGAATTGATCTGTCAATCATGCATGTTTTCATAATTAAGGCGTGCATTAGTTGGGACTACGGACTACCCAACTGGGAAAAGTTGTTGGCGGAGGCCTGAAGTTTGTATAATAACTACCTCAATCTTTAATAATGATGGGTACAAAAAGTATCTAAAATGTATACAGATGCTAAATAATATATTATTTAATTGCTTCTATTTATTGAACATACCATTCGTTTACTGCCGGCTGGTCGAGCTCCGGATAATGCGCATCCCGCAGCATAATAAGCACACGACACAGCCCTAGGTGGGGTACAGGCTCGTATATAATAGTTTTTTTTTAAATGCTAACAACTTTTGTTCCACGACTATTCATAAAACAATAAATTTACCAATAATCAATCCACTTTCACGTACCTAAGTTTTTCTTGTTCTACTATCTGACACTTTAGATATGTATTTGTTAGGAACATCAGTTTAGTATATAGGAAGTAATAATATGTATAGCAACGACTCTCGCGTGGCGATTCTAAAAAATATATTTTGGTGGCAGGTTTTCGCGTCATTGGAATGAATTTATTTATCAATTATCATTACGAAATATATACCTAATACAGTAAATTATATAGTAAATAACACTGTAACATAATAAATTTGTACTGCGTTCCTATTTGTACTCCATTAACAGGCACACTGGCAGATAAATTCGCGTACCACAGGCGATTGGCTAAAACACAGTCGTTATTATAATTTACTCATCATAATTAAAATCAGACTGTAAAAAAATCAACAAATGATGTCCTCCAGCTCCTGGTTCATTCGGATTCTCCAGCTACCATCTTCCCGCTGCGTTTGTCTTCAAAATCTTACGCATTCTGTCGGCGACAAGAAGGTTGTTCTCTTCTTTCAGAGTCAGCGTCCAAGCTTCACAGTCTATTTATTGGCAGAACTAGCCTAAATAGTGAGCATTGAGAAAATTGTTCTTTGCACCTGCCATCGTTGATTGTCTAGCAACGTTTTGTTTATTGAACATTCTATATCGAAGTTAGCTAGAGTACAGTATCGACACCATCGGCAATTTATATTATTGGCAGTATTTATCAGCAATTGAAGCAATTTCATCAAGGTAATCCGTTCTGTTGAAGACTAGTAAAAAATAACAAATTTAATGGAAAAGATCTAAATTATTATGTCGTACCTACTAACGAATTATATCGAAAAATTCACGCAAAATTCTTGTTTGCTTGAAAACGATTCCCGTCTCCTCGTTACTCTTTAAATTTACCAACCATGCTTTTGCACATCGATTTTCGTAGTCTTCGTCAAATTATTACAAAGAGAACTATAGGCTACTTAGGCCAGGCTCTACTTCTGCGGCCACGTTTAAATTTTGTATGTATTCCAAACTGTATGAACGAAAGTGCCTTTAACTCACGGTCTCCTCGAAATCAGCGTTAAAAAAAAGCACATCACGGTGCATGGTGTGCGTGTGTGTATTTTTTAGTTTCAATTGTGAGAATGTAAATTAGTTATGTGTAGTCTATAATGTATATAATTATATTAGTAATATTTGTGTAATAAATTATTGAAAAGTTTAATTATTTTTATTTAAAATATTCATTGCTCTAGAACCTGTCCCCTTATCATCACAGACTTTACTTTATGTCTGCTGTCCCGTGTCCAGCATTTCGAAATGTTCAGCGGTTGACACTACACATTTAGGGAAATGCACATTGCGACGCATACGGGACAATAGACAGCAACGCTTCCATTTTAGGACACCGGAACGCAAATGTTGCGTTCGGAGAGGCAACAACGTCTCGGCGAGGAAATTAAAACGAGTGCATAATGTCGTATATTACGTTTATGGTTAGGAGGTAATATTAAACTTAACTTAACTTCACATACAACGTCGTAACAGCCTCGCACTCGCACGCATCTCGCTCGCACTCCGCGTCGTCCGGTCCGTCTCTCTTTCTCTCTCTCTCTCTCTCCCGGCCAGTGAGCACAGCGGCGGCCCAGCGTCGGCGTGGCGCGGCCGGTCACTTGTGCAGCCCCGCGCGCTTCGCCTCCAGCTCGTAGATGAGCAGCCGCCACATCTTCACCACGAACACCTCCGCCTCCTCGTCCAGCACCTGCGGCAGCGGCGGGTGAGACGCGGGCCGGCGCGGCGCCGGCGACGCGACGGGACTCACCATTTGCACGTCGTCCAGGATGCCCTGCGGCTGCGACCCCGCCAGGACCTTGCTGCAGATGAAGTCCACCAGCGTGGGCTCCGGCTCGCCGATGTACTCGATGATTTTCTTGTTGATCCACGGCCGGATCTTCTTCTCCATCAGGACGCCGTCGATCTGCGCCGTGTCCAGCTTGTACTGGAAGAGCTGCTCCTTCTGCGTGGGGATCTTGTCGATGAGGCTCTTGATGTGCTTGCGCTTCTCCTCGGCGGACTTGCCCTCCTCCGCGCCGCTCTCAGCGCCGCCCTTGTCGGCGTCGGCCTTCCTGCTCTTGTCCTTGCGGTCCTTGCCTGCGCAGAGGGCGAGCGAGGGGTGAGGGGCGGCGGGCGGGCGGGGCGGGGCGGGGCGGGGCGGGGGCGGCGGGGCGGGGCTCACCTCGGTGGTGGTGGTGCGGGTGCGGCGGCGCGTGGTCGTCGTCGTCGGCGGCGAAGGCGTGGTGCGGGCGCGGGGGGCGCGGCGCCTCGCGCGGCGGGGAGCGCCGGAAGCTGATGCTGATGGGCGACGCCGCCTCCAGCAGGCCGGCCGCGCCCGCGCTCTGCGGGGCAGGCGGCCGGGTGGGTGCGGCGCCCCCGGCGCGGGCGGGGGGCGGGGTGGGGGGCGAGGGGGTACTCACGTGTCTGCGCGCGCGCGGCGGCTCGGCCGACGGCGGCCGCGGGGGCGTGGTGCCGCCGTCGGAGCTCTGCGGACAAGAGGCGTCATTCGCGGTGGCTCGGAACGGCGTCCGCAACCTCGGGAAGTGGCCGACTTGAAAGTGCATCGAGTGAGCGGGGTGCTCACTGAATACGTTTTATAAAATATTAGTCGTGCAGCAGAAGTCGCGAAACGATTGCACGAACCGAACTTTCTATTTGTAAAAGACAAAACGAAAGATAAATAACGTTCGCTCGCTCAGTTCTCGCTCAATATTCGTGTACTAGTTTTCAGTAGTGGTTTTGATAAATTGTTATCTTTAATTACAAATCGATTAGTACCTTTTCAATAATAAGAAATTACTAACGAAGGCCTATTACAAACCCGAAACCGAAGGCCCTAATAACTCGAATTTTGTATTTTTTTACCATCCGTTATACGCACAACGCTTTTCATCACATTTGTGAGGAAGTAAACACAATATAAATACGATTCACAACACAATTATGGATTTGGCAAAGTTTTTAAATTTCGGCTTTTGTTTTTTTTTTTAATTCTTCCATAAATAATACAACTCGAACTAAAATATTACAAAAAGCGAACACGTGTACAGTCATGATGGATTCTAAAAAAAAATTGCGAAATTTTTATACCGAAAACAACTAAAATCATTATAAGAAATTCATTAATTAAGTCATTTTAGAGGAATGTTTTAATTTTGAACTTGAATAGTCAGGACTATGTAAGGAAGTATATCATGCAACAAATAAAAAAAAGATCTTTGTATTAATCATTATAACAAACTAGTCATTGTTATAGGAGTCATTTCGCCAAAAAATAATTAAATATTACGGTGGTGAAACATTCTGACAATCAATAAAAATTTAATAAAAATTTTAAATTTCATTAAACCATGGGTGTAATGGTAAGACAAAAGGCCCGAGAGTTTAACTGGGGCATCATAGTCAAGTTAGCCACCATGCTATTTACGAGCAACTGTGATGAAATATCTTTTGCAAATATTTTCTTATGCTCGCTCAATCCACACACTTTCAAAAGGGACCATTTCTTACAAACTAGTAGAATTCATTTTTTATGTCTAGATTTTGAATACTAACTGAATTCTTGTTATTTAAGCGGTGAAACGAGTTTGTGAAGACGTATTTGTGTCAAAATCGGTCAGTATATTTAAAGTTTTTGTTTTTTTTCTGAAAAAAAATAACTATGTGGCGATGGTGTGAAACAATTAATATTTTTAAATTTGTTGCTCTAAGCTGTCGTGACCGATTTGTAAATTACCCTAACGGCACGTTTTTACAAGAAAGTCATCAACCAGTTATGTCTAACATTAAAGTGAACCACTTGGGTTGATAAAGGGCTTCTTTTGCAAGGACGAAAACGAAGGAAGGTCAGTTGATTGAATGTGTAGGTTTATCCATCAAATGCATGCATATTGTAGGATGCTGCAAGGCGCCATTGAAATTAAAACAGAGAAGATGTTTCTCTATACCACTATTTTGGGATCCAGTATTTTGTTTGATAAAAAATCTAGTGAATTAAAAAGACTGCAGTACTAATATATATATATATATATACACACACACACACACGCTTATGGCGATATTATGACGCGGCGATGGGAAGTGTTTGCCTTAATTTTTAATTCTTAATTTTTTGCAATAATAGGGTGACCACTCCCCGAAATGTATCCGATAGAGAATTAACAAGCAGGGTACTTTTCTGCAACGGTCGAGCTTTTGTAGCTTCGGCTGTACAAGAGAATTGTTGTTAATAAGTGTCTTTGCTTTTCGCTCTACCAAGTCCAAGGCGGCTAACTGGTAATGGGCAGAGCCGTCTCAAAGGTGGTAGTGGTACTCCGCACGATTAAACTTGTGCTTTATACAGATTTAAAAGCTGTTCAGGTGCGAAGGTGCGAAGGTGCGACCCGCTTAACCTTGCGAAGTACGCCTAGTTTTCTTGCGGCAGTTTTTGCCGAGCGTTCGACGCATCGTTCAAAGTCGAGGGTGGACGATAAGTTCAGACCGAGTAGTTCAAGTTAAGCGAGTCCCTCATGACTCCGCTTCGGCGGGAAAAGACGCGGTCGCGCGGCCCGACCTGCGGCGTGTCGGCGTCGTCGGGCGCGGCGCGCTCGTCCGGCCGGTGGTGGCGGTGGTGGTGGTGCTTGTGCTTGCGCGGCGGCGTGGCGGGCGCCGGCGACGGCGGCGGCGGCGTGCCGGGCGGCGGCGACGCGCTGTCGTCGCTGTCGATGGGCTCGGCCTCGGTGGGCAGCTGGCGCGAGGCCTGCGCGCGCAGGTAGCGCTCGCGCTCGCGCTCGGCGCGCTCCTTGGCCTCGCGGCGCGCCTCGGAGCGCAGGCGGGCGCGCGCCTGCTCGCGCTCGCGCTGCGCCTCGGCCTGCAGCGACACGTCGATGAGCAGCCGCGGCCGGTACAGCTCGTCGCGCTCGCGCCGCGCGCGCTCCCACGCCAGCGCCGCCGCCGGGTCGTCGGCCGCGCACGCGCCGAAGATCTCGCGCCTGCACAGCCCCGAGTCAGCGCGGTCCGGCCCCGCACCCGCCCCCGCCCCCCGCCCCGCCGCGCACCTCAGCGCCTCCAGCTCGTCCTGCTCGCGCTCCCGCTCGCGCGCGTCGGCCTCCGCCTCGCGCACGCGCGCGCCCAGGCGCCGCTGCAGCTCCTTGCCCTGCGCACGGCCGCGGTCAGATCTGCCTCCCCGCGCTGCCCGCGCCCCGCCCCCGCCCCCGCGCCCCACCTTGTAGTACTTGTGGTCGTCCCTCTCGTCGTCGTAGTCCTCCAGGAACTCCTTGAGCCGCTTGGCCTCCCGCTCGCGCTCCTCCTCGCGGCAGCGCTCCCTCTCGCGCTCCTTCTCGTACTCCTTCGCCTTGCGCCGCTCGCGCGCCTCCCAGTTGCGCAGGCTGCGGACGCAGTCCACGAGTCAGTCCCCGCCCGCGCTCGGTCCCTCCCCGCGGCGAAACCACTCACCGCTCCTGGTACGCGGCCTCCTTCTCCCTCGCCTTCTTCTCCAACCGCTTCCGCTCCCTGGCCTCCTCCTCCAGCTCCCTCTCGCGCCGCGACTCGGCCGAGCTGCGACTCCTCCCGCGAGATCTCTCCCTCTCCCGTTCCCTCTCCCGCGACCGCTCCCTGTCTCGTTCCCTGCAATTTTTATCACCGCGTTTACCTCGCCTGCGCGTGAAAAAAAATCTTTTAAAAAACACACCTCAAACTGCTTCTTTATTTTCTAATCTCTATAAACCGCCGCGAAAAACCCATTTCTTCCGACGACCCGTTGCGACAGACTCGGCTGCCAAAAAGGATCAAAATATGTTATTACCCTCTAAACGAAGAAATAAACGACTATGAAGGAAAAGTGCGCCCCACCTAGCGCCGTTAGCCGCGGCGATCTCGTGTCTCGTGCGGATGTACGGGTGCAGCGCCAGCAGCGGCAGGCCGACGGCGAAGCCGCAGCTCGCCCGCATGCCCCGACCGCGGCGGCCCCCGTCCGCGCTCTTTCTCGTTCCGTTATCGCGTGTCGACCCCGCCCCCCTCCGCCGCCCCCTCCGGCGCACCGCGCTCGCCGCACACACGCCGCTCCCGGCGCCGGCGATTCGTTCAGCCGCCCCGACGTTCGAACGCCGCGGACGTTGTTTGCCAGTTGCGAGTTGCGACGATGCGGACCGTGAACTTCGGTCGTGTCGTCTCCGCGTAACAGACGCAACGCGACCGACGACCGAAAACGGGGCACCGCCGAAATGCAGTCGTACAATCATCGACGCTAGAAGCGCCGCAGTTCGCGACCGCGGTTGCCGCGCACGGTCGTCATAAAAATGCGATAGTTCGCTAACGAGCGCCGTGTTTCATTACCGTCGACGACGACGAGGCGACCCCCACCGGCCAGTGCGTCCCCGCCGCGCGACTTCGCACCTCAATGCGATAACCGTAAAGTCCATACGATCCGCACAAATGACTTCGAAAAAAATTAACGTATTACACGATCGACACAAATTAATTTTTAGCAACTTTCTAGCTTAATACGATTGTGCGCTTATCACGATACGCGATGTTGTTGCGTCATTTACCGAAGGAACATATCACAAACGTAAAAAGTTTGCGACAATGGTTTAACGAGTAAAAGTGAACGCACACGTGGTGGCGGCTCAAATAAAGCCTCGTGTACGTCAACTGCAGGTCAAGCTACACACTTTTGTTCGAATGTGCCTCCAGTGCAACTAAACAAGACCTGTCGACGTGTAGCTTGATATGCTGCCGCCTGTACCACTGCGTGGCCATAAATGCGAGCGATTGCGATAACGCAATTCGCATTTCAAATCAGCAATCCTCATACACAACTACCGCCGTGTATGTATACCCGTTCGCGACAACCCACTCACGAACACTTCTTGGGCTCGGTCGCAGTCAAGCTGCAAGACTCGTACAACTCTCTGTCATTCTACTCATAACATTATACATACTTCTCTTGGCGGCAGATTCTAAACCATCAGCATCTGAAAGGAATGGGCTATAACAGTAGCAACATCTTTTGTGAATAACAATATTTCCGCTAATTTGTAAAAGAATAGCCAAACGCTGGCATTTTCTCCTCAAATTAACTTTTTTTTTATGTAATAACTAC